GTTGCTACGGGGAAAGTTCACCTCCTCAGTTTTGGGGTTCAGGGTACCCCCACAGTGTGTTGTTGGGGATTGGGGAAGATGGTGCCGCCTGGGATGAGGAAGTGGAGCCGAGAGAAAGCAAAAAAAAACAAACCAAAGACACCCTTCCCCTTTCCATGTCTGCCTGGCTTCTCTTTTGCTCACATCTGGGAGGTTGACAGTACACCCTGACAGGAGCCAGCCACGCTGGCTCATTTTGTCCTGCTCTGTGGAGAAAACGCAGAATAAAAAAGCAGAAGGAAAGGCAAACTGAGCAGAACGCTCTCTAGAGAATCGTGATCACAGAAGCAGAGCTCCTAGCCCTCCTTTGAAGAGTAACCATATTGTCATTTATAGAGAACCTACTGTATGCAAGATTCAGGCCTGGAAAGTGGTCCCTTCTTGCCTCAAGAATCTCAAAGACTTGCCTGGGTGCTTGCTGAGAGACAGACAAGCAAGTGGCCAGTGTTCTGAAGAAACTTCATAGGGGCCGAGGGAGTGGTCCCTATTCAGACAGAGGCTGAGGTGGTGTGGGGTGGCAGGGGATCTTCATGAAGAGAAAAACTTGACCTGGGATGTTTAGAATGAGCAGAAAAATTAGCTCTGGAGGGCGGCTAGGCGAAGAAGCTTTCCAGCTTAAAGGAATAGCCTGTGAGAAGGCACAAAATTCACCTTAACGTCTTTGATCTTGTATTATTTAGAAGGCTTGCAATTACTGGGTTCTCACTACAAGTCAGGCACTATTCTAAGGTCTTTGCCTGCCCAAACTCAAGTATATAGAGAAGAAGTCATTTGGAAGGAATGAGGTTTTCACAAAAAAAGCCTGCGTCTTAACATCCAGAGACTGGCTTCTACTTCTGTCTGCTACTACATTTAGTATGTGTGGATGTTGTGGGGAAGGGGAGAACAACCTGTCTGACCACCAAGGCAAATGTGCTTCTGCAAAATAAACAAAAATGTCATTATCCAGACTGCTTTTTAAGGAAAGACATGAATGTGTACAAGAGCCCCACCAGGTGCCATGTGACCTCACACATATTATTCTACCTAATCTATAGCTACCCTGACAGAAAAGAGCATTGTCTCAACAGTTGTAGAAAATTGAGCCCCTGAGAGTGAAAATGAGGTTTCCCAGGTGACAAAGATTAAGGTAGGAGGGCAGCAGGGACCAGAAGTCAGGACTTCTCCCACCTTCCATCTCACTAATCTCCCTGACTCTGCTTCCCCTAGATCATCACACCCTCACCCCACCCCATCCCAAGGGCCATACTCACTGGCAAGGATGGCCTCGGGGGCTCCCTGGAACAGCAGCAAGAGGAGGAGAACGCTCATCTTTCCAATTCTTACTATCAGGTGTTCTCAAGTATAAGGCCATTCAGGAGGACCCAGTACAACACAACTTGCAACTTGCAGCTGAAGCCAGGGGAGCAGAAAGAACAAGAGATGTGTGCTGATCCTCAGCATGAAGCAAATGATTGAGGCTGAGGGTTCAGCAACTACTAGTTCCTTTCAGAGTTGATACTGTAGCTTTGTGGTAAGTTTTGAAATCAGGAAGTGTGACCATTCTGACTTTATTCTTCATTTCATGATTATTTTGGCTATTCTGGTTCTCTCTGGTTGAGAGAGAAATATGGTTGAGAGAAATATGAATTTTAGGATCAGCTTGTCAATTTCTGCAAAAAGTTAGCTGTGATTTCACAGGGATTGCATTGAATCTGTAGCTCAATTTGGAGAATATTGCCATCTCAACAATGTTAAGTCTTCTGATCCATGGATGTGATATATCTCTCCATTTATTTAGATCTCCTTTAATTTCTTTCAGCAATATTTTATCATTTCAGAGTATAAGTTATACACTTATACATTAAATTTATTCCTAAATATCTTATTCTTTTTGATGCTATCGTTAATGGAACTGTGTTCATAAGTTTATTTTGGATTACTCCTTACTAGTGTATAGAAATACAATTGATTCTTTTTTTTTTTTTTTTAAGGTTTTATTTATTTATTTTTTCCCCCCAAAGCCCCAGTAGATAGTTGTGTGTCATAGCTGCACATCCTTCTAGTTGCTGTATGTGGGACGCGGCCTCAGCATGGCTGGAGAAGCAGCGCGTCGGTGCGAGCCCGGGTCGCCAGCAGTGGAGCGCACGCGCTTAACCACCAAGCCACGGGGCCGGCCCCTACAATTGATTCTTGAATATTCATCTTTGTATTTGTTTTCCATTGCTCTGTAACAATATTATCACAAACTTGGCAGCTTAACACAACAGTATCTTATCTCACACAATTGATCTCACAGTTTCTGTTCTGGATTCTGGCCATTCTAATAGGTGTGTAGTGGTAACTCATTGTTTTAATTTGCTGATAATATGTTGTAGAGCATCTTTTCACACGATTATTTGCTACCTGTGTGTCTTCTTTGGTGAGGTTTCAGTTAAGGTCTCTGACCCATTTTTTAATTGGGTCCTTTGTTTACTTATTGTTGAGTTTTAAGCATTCTTTGTATATTTTGGATACCTTTATCTTTTGTCTTTTGCAAATATTTTGTCCTTGTCTATGGGTTGTCTTATCTTGACATTGTCTTTCACAGATCAGTTTTTTTTAATTGATGTCATAATAGTTTATAATATTGTGAAATTTCAGTTGTACATTATTATTTGTCAGTCACCATATAAAATGTGCCCCTTCACCCCTTCACAGATCAGTTTTTAATTTTAATGAATTCCAGTTTATCAGTTGTTACTTTCATGGACTGTGTCTGGGGATTGTATCCCTAGTGAGCTTTTTATTTCAACTCTTTCTAATTCCAACTCCAGAATATCTACTTGGTCCTTTTTCTTTTTATAATTTCTATCTCTTTATTGGTAATCTCTATTTATTGAGTCATTGTCATCATCCTTTCTTTAATTCTTTAAACATGGTTTCCTTTAGTTCCTTGAGCATATTTATAATAGCTGCTTTGTGGTCTTTGTCTGCTGCATCTTACATCTCAGAGCCCCCTTAGAGGGCCCTCTCAGAGACAGTTTCTATTGACTGTTTTCCCTGGTGAATGGGTCATATTTTCTTATTTCGTTGCATGTTTGTAACTTTTGTTGAAAACTAGACATTTGAAACAATATATTGTAGCAGACCTGGATTTCCATTCCCCTTGCCTGAGGGTGGGTAGTGGTTGTTCTTGTTTGTTTCACTTTGTATAGTGACTTGCCTGTACTAATTCTGTGGAGTCTCTTCCCCTTGCAGTGTAGGGTTCAGATATCTCTGCTCAGTTTTTTAAATTCTTATTTATTTTTAAATCTGATTTCCTGGGGGTCATCCCTAGATCAGCACAGCTTAATGATTAGCCAATGATTGGTCAGAGTGTACTTAAACACCTTGAGCCAGCAAGGCTTCCACTTTCTGTCTTTGGATCTGTATGTGGTTTGGGAAATGCTTTCAAGTTAAGAGTTTACAAGTTGGACCTGGCTTTACTTTCTGCATTTATAAGGCCTCACGTTCAGCTGGCAGGGATGAGAAGTAGCCTCCTATGGCCATCTCCAGTCTTTCCTAAGCAGGCCTAGCCTTGGGCTTGCACGCAGCCTTCTAAGCCATCAAGGTTAAATGCCATATTACCAAGGTCCTCTTTGGCTGCCTCACTCGTTTGATGCTCCTTTTAAATTTCTGGCTGGTCTGATGTTTTGTTTTTTGCCCCAGCCTGTATTATGACTTCAGGTGAGCCACAATGTTAGCCTCTCTAATGAATTCTTTTGTAAAAAATAGCTGTCACCCCCCACCTCCGCATTTATTTATTTATTCAAGTATTTATTTTTATCAGTATGGACTCATGGATATTTATTTTATTCAATTGGTTTTAATCCGATTCTATCATTATTTATGATGTTGCTCAAATTATTCCACCTTTAGCTATTGGATGCTTTCAGGTTGGCTCCTGTGTCCCTTTGACATTTCCCCACCATTGTACTGAGTACTTTCTGACACCACAATATGCCCCAGTCCTAGAACCCACCGTTTCTCCAAGGAGCCAGAGTGTGTCTTATGCATGTATTATAATTTACTTCACCATCATCTTACTGTTAGATATTTTTTATTTTTGGTTGTTAATTTTCTATTACATAAAATTACCATTATGTAAAATTTCCAACATAAAAATTAAAGAGGATAGTAAAATGATCCCATCACCCATCTTCAATAATTATCCCTCCTTTAGAGAATTATAGCAGCATGGACAGGGATTTGAATCAGTGAAGCCTGTTTAGGTAACTAAGGCAGTGAAGAATCATCTTCATTAATTCTATGGGACCAGTTTTCAACAGCAAGACCTTTAATAGTGAAAGGCAACAGGTTCTTTCTTTCCCCTTCTTAGGACTGGAGGTGGCTCTGAGCATACCCTTTGACTGTGGGGTACTTAGACATTTCAGATGAAACCTTAAGAAGTATCAGAATAAATCACTGGAAAAATAAAGAAGCTGTGAATATAATTGTATCTTGGGTTTTTAGGGGAAGTTCACATTAGTTACAGTTAGAACAGAATTGATTCTCTCTACAACCAAGGTTCTTCTGTGGTCATAAGAGAAGATTTTCCAGGGGAATTTTAAACCACAAGAAACCACATTTAGTCTAAACTATGGTTCATTGTCATAATCAGCTCCCAAGAGAAGACTTTGTTGATGCCTGTGGGATTTATTTGGGAGAGTGGAGGCCGAATATAGTATATACTGCATAGATATAGATATACACACATATACATATGTTCAATTAGTGCCTTTAACAACTCCCTCTATTCATTGTGAGGCTTCATGTGTCTATTAGCTCCCTCTATCATCTAGAAAAAAACTACTAGAATTATTGGAATGTAGTATCCATGAGGGCAGGGAAGGCTGCAGACCCAGCAGATGGCTGGAGCACTAATCAAGAAGCGAAGGCCGAGGACAGATCTTGCTGACATGTAGTACCTTTGTTTCTCAGATGCTATCAGGAGATCTTAGATGGGCAGTTCTGTCTCCTTGTCTATTTCTCCCTTCTCCTCCCACATGACTGGACCTTTCTCCAGGAAGTATGCTTCTCTCAGCATACAGATGTGAAAATGTTATCAGGGCACCAGAGAAGTGAAACTATGTTCAATCAGGTGCATAGATTATATATCTGGGGCCCCCAGCAGAGGTGTACCCAGTCCTACTCAGGAATGGTCTTCTTAGACATCTCCTCACAGTCCTTGCCCCAGGGAGAAGGGGTGCATTTTCAAAGATGTTATGTTTCAGCTTTGTTCTTTTGAAAAAAATTTTATTATGGAAATTTTAAATACATATGAAGTAGAGAAAATAGTATAATGAACCATTATGTATGCATCACCCATGTGTCAGCTTCAACAATCATAAACCCATAGCTAACCTTGCATCATTTATACCCCCACCTAGTTCCTCACTCCCAATACATACTGGATATTTTGAACAAAAGTACAGATATATCATTTCATCTGTAAATATTTTTAATGGATCCCTAAAAGACAATTTTATAAATTTCATAATTTATAATATCATTTCTAAAAACAATTCACAATATCATCAAATATCCAGTGTGTATTCACATTTCCCTGATTATCTTACATATTTTTCTTAACAATTGAGGTGTTTAAACCAGCATCAGAAGAGATGTATTCATTGCTTTTTGTTGTTATGTCTCTTAAGCATCTTTTAACTTATTAGTTCCCTCCCTTTTCTTCTTCTTCTTTTATTTTCCTGTTTTAATTTATTTGGTTAGAAACCAGTGAAGGCTGGTTCTAAAAGTCACCTTCTCATGGGATTAGTGGTGTTTTTAACACCTGGCAAAGGGGACTGCAATTCACCGTGGGCCCCCAGGTCGCCATTTATTGGGTAGCTGGCATTCCCAAACATCTCTGATATATTATCTATTACTGCATAACAAATTACTCCAAAATAAGAGGCTTAAAACAACACACATTTATCATCTCACAGTTTCTGCCGGTCAGCAGTTTAAGCACAGCATTGCTGGGTTGTCTGCTTCAGGGACTCTCACAGGCTACAATCAAGGTGTTGGCCGCAGTGGGATACCAACTGAAGACTCAACTAGGAAAGGACTTACTTTCAAGCTTACTGACACATTTGTTGGCAGGATTCAGCTCCTTGGTTGTTGGACCGAGGGCTTCAGATCCTCACTGGCTGTGGCAGAGGGGAGACCACTCTCAGTTCTTTACCACTTGGGCCTCTCCAACATGGCAGCTAGCTTCATCAAAGACAGTAAAGGAAAAGTCTCCTCACAAGATGAAAGTCAGACTTTTATAACCTACTCACGGAAGTGACATCCTTTCACCTTTGTCATATTCTATTGGTTAGATGCAAGTTGCTAGATCCAGCCCACACTCAAGAGGAGGGGACTTCACAAGGGTGTGAATACCAGTGGAGGAGCGTCATTGAGGGACACCTTAGAAGTCTGCTTACCACATCCTGTAAACAGCTGACTCTCTAACCCAGAATGCTTGGTGCCTGAGCAGCTTGTGTCTCCTCATTGATAAGATTGCTCTTGTGCTTGCCTTGCAAAGGAGAGCAACAATGCAGCAGGATCCGTCCACTGCCACACTCCTCTACCCTGCATACCCAGGAGGGTGCTTGCTTTGCTGCTCTATGGAATAACAGAAAGAATGGGACTCATGCCTTCTCTTTACTTGCTGACACTGAATTGAAAGTTTCCCCAAAAGCCTGTTTCTTAAACCATAGTATATGATATTGTGGTTTTCATCTGAGTCCTGGTGAATAACAGGTGACCCCAAAGGGACCTGCTTTGCATAACAACCTTGCACCTGTTTTTCCTCTCTCAGCCCAGTCCCTCTCCTTTGCTTTCTAAGTCCAGTTTCGCTCCTGAACACTGCTTTTTGGCTATTTCATGGCTCCTGTCTGCAGCTTAAGGGACTGATTCTCCCCACCCTTTGGTCACCAGCTGCTCCAGTGTGAGATGTCAAGGAGCGCAGTTCTGACATTCTTAATCAGCTTTCCTCTACACCAGCACACACATACAGACACACACACACTTTCTAGTGGGCACTGGTAGCCACAGTCTTATGGACACCCCCTTGTACTTTTTAAGTACACATGTATGTACTTAATATATACATCAAACAATCTTCACTGGTCCTCACACCCACTATTAATGCTTTATGCACAAACTAAATCATGCATTCTTCCCTAATTAGACTCCATATTTCCTTTCTTTTTCTAGAAGTCTGAATAAAATCTCCAGCTTTGAAATCAGGATGTCTGGTTCCAAATCTCAGCTTAGCTTTTTACTAGTTGTGTGCTCTTGAGAAAATTATTGAACGTTCTCTAGTCATCAGCTTGCTTCACCTATAGAGTGGGGTGGTAACTGTTCCCATGTCAGGCACAATGTTAGGATTAAATGCACACAAAGCCCTCAGTATACTACCTGGTATGCAATGAGCATGGAATAGATGTTTATATATATTAACTCATTTAATTCTCACAACAACCATATGAGTAGTTACTATTAGTCTCACTGTTTTAAGGTGAGGAAAATGAGACACATGTGGCCAGAGCAACTGAGGAGCTGGATATAAAATATACACCAGATTTCAAAGAATTAGTATGAAAAAAGAACATAAAAATATCTCATTAATAAGTTTTTATCTTGAGTACATGTTGCAATGCTAATATACTAGATTTATTGGGTTAAATAAAATATATTAAAATTATTTTCATCTGTTTGCTTTTACTTTATTAATATGGCCACTGGAAAATCTTAAATTACACATGTGACATGCATTTTATTTCTATTTAACAGTGCTGATCTAGATAACAAACACAACTCCTTTCTGCATTGCCCACATTCTGTTTTCTAAGTACGAAATAACTAGCAGAGAATGATGGTAAACCCCATCCCTGCACTAAGTACTTAATAACATCTAGCTGCAGATTATAACGTAACTACCTATATCCAGACCACCTCATCTGACTTTAGAAATAAAGTGAAGGCAATTTCTCATTTTTATTCAAACTCAGTTTATCTACCTTTGTTCATTCAGCTGAAAGGAATCCAGAAAAAATAGACCACCACCCTCACCCCTCACTCCACAAGAGCCATGCATTAGAAGGAAGAATCCTACATCCTGAGGCCCCTTATTACTGTCACTTCTAATTGTGCCCCGCCTGACTCCCAGACCTAACCAGCTCAATACTTAAATGGTAAAAGTCATAGTATATTAACTAATGTTCATAGAGCTCTTTACAGTATTCTATTCCACATCAGTATTCAGCCAGTATGACTAGTAAGCCATACTGATTGTTAAAGAAAATAGAATAGCAACTGTGATAAGCAGTAAAATTAATAAGTTCTATAAATTCTAACATATACTCATGAGCAACATCTGGGCTGTCACAATGACTAACAGTAGATGGGTTCCTGTCACTGTAACATCTGAGACACATTTGTGGCACCAGCTGCCAGTTCAGCCACGGCAGGACAAGCTTCATGGTCGGAGTGTACAGTTTTCAATCCGACATTTACAAAAATCATCATATTGCTCATACTGCCAAAACTTCTAAATAGTAGATTTGTTTGGCTTTTCCTTTGTTCTTATTGTTAGTGTGCTGTTATTCTTGTGGAAATAATAGTTGTGCAGTGTTTTGATATCCATAAATTCAAGAACTTAGAATAAGAAGAATAAACAGTAAGAACGAAGTGACAAAGTTTGGATACATTTTTAACATTGTTTCTAAATATTATAAACATTAATCTTCTGGATTCGAGAGGGAAAAAGGAAGCAATGACATTAATCATGAATCACGGTTTGGAACGTTTGATATTGTACAAAATTTATGACAAGTGGTAATGTCTTTAATATTGTGTAAGATTCAGGTCAAAGTAAACAATAATTTTCATTTCTAACACTTAAAAAATTCCTGGTAATTCTGACAAAACTCACAGGTGCCTTACAATTACTTGCAATGTATATATTGGATACAAATGATGCTCAAAAACTGTATGCTGACAAGTTGAAAGTGCTAAGCACATTCTATCAGTGCTCGGAATTCAAAGAAAAAATTAGCAATAATCAAGAAAAATTTACAGAACATTAAGAATTAACTTCATGCAATAAAATATTTAAAATAATTAAAACTCATTAAACAAATTTTATTTTATCATAAAATCAACAAAACATTGAAAAAGTGCCACCAAAGTTTGAACTATCTACTGTGTAATTAAACATAGCCTTTTACATGCTAAATAGAAGGTTTTTAAAAGATTATAAGTAGTGCATATCATTGCAGTGTAGATAATGGTTCTGCTGGTTGCAAAACTATGTATATCTACATAATGAGACAATGTTTTGGAAAACTCATAAATCTAGGCACTAAATCATTATCAATGAAGTGTCAACTATGTCACAAAAATGTGTTTTAATCAATCAGTTACTTACATACTAAATTTAAGACTTATAAACTGATTTTTTTTGTTGTTGATTTGAGGAATTCAATATAACTTACTCATCGGTGCTCAATAAAGATGTTTTCAATGTGCCATAGTTACATGATGGTGCCAATGGTGCCAGTGAATGCCACAAAGAAAGTTCAGGGTCTCAGCCAAAATTTTAGAAATATTTCTGGATGTTTTAATTTGGAATTATATAAGTCACTGTATTCAATGATTTCAGGATGATGCAGCAAAATGTTTACATGAAACAAATCACTTTAAATATTTGCCTCAAGAAACTTTTTATTCACTGCCATACATTAAAAAGGATCAGAGAAAAATAAATAATATATCTGAGGAGGCTGGAATGAAATCACGAAACTGGGAAGTTTTGAGCCTCCTGTAGTGCTAGGAGGGCAAAAGCATTAGGAGATTTTATCAGATCTTTTATATTCATTTTAATAGAAATTGTGAAATGAAAGTAGATAAATGTTTGGCAAATAAACTTTCTTTTCAGAGATTTGGCTTTAATCACTCATATTTTAGTAGAGATGTCAATACTATCTTAAGCCTTACCAGAAAAAAATGTTAATTATTAAAGAAGCTGGATTCATTTGACAAAAATAAAAATCATTTAACAAATAAAATTAAATACAAGAAACAAAGAGGAAAAAAGCAGATAAAATTATTTTTTACAAAGAAATATGATACACCATTTGAAAGAAAAATGTTGACTTCAAGAGAAAAGACAATTAGATTATCTAATAATTTATATGATTGTAATTATAATTTCATGACAAAAGTGAACAATATCAAGAACTTTAAATTTTTAAATTTAATCAATTCTGAATGATGCTACAAAGCTAATATGTAATTAATTACATTAACAAAATTTAATTGAATTGATAAAATTAAGTCAACTGATTAAATATGGCATTATAATAAATGATTTTTGGGACTGAGTAAACAACAGAGATGCCAAATATATAAGAATTTCAGACAGTACTACAAGCATTAAAAAAATCTTTAATGTAATTGCTAAAGTGAGAGGATTTACTACATACGTTGTTAATAAAAGACAATTTAATGGGGAAATCATTGGAAGCTTTTCATGTGGTTCACTTGTCAAATCATGGCTCACATAAACACATCACTTAGCTAATGACAACTATGTCAAAAATTCATGCCAAAATTTTCTAAAAATCAATAAATAATTTGGAAATTGTTATAATGTTTTAAAAATTATTTCCACAACTTATATCACTTGGTAAGTAGTTTTATAATAGTTTAGTTAGAGAATAAAAAGAATTCAGTTGCTATAGACTGAAAATTCCCCCCAAAATTCATATGTTGAAACCCCAATCCCCCACGTGATGGTATTAGGAGGTGGGGCCTTTAGGAGATGATTAGGTCATGAGGCGGAGCGCTCATGAATGCGATTAGTGCCCTTATAAAAGTAGCCCAAGAAAGCTCCCTTGTCCCTTCTACTATGGGAGAACACTTTTTAGAGAACACTCTAAAAAGACACTATGTATGAACAAGGAAGCAGATCTTCACCAGACGTCGAATCTGCCAGCGCCTTTGATCTTGGACTTTCCAGCCTCCAGAACTGTGACAAATAAATTTCTGTTGTTTATAAGTCATCCAGTCTCTGGTATTTGTTATAGCAGCCCAAACAGACTAAGACAATAATTTAAATTTTGTGTGTGTGTATGTGTGAGGAAGATCAGCCCTCAGCTAACATCCATGCTAATCCTCCTCTTTTTTTTTGCTGAGGAAGACTGGCTCTGAGCTAACATCTATTGCCAATCCTCCTCCCTTTTTTTCCCCAAAGCCCCAGTAGATAGTTGTACGTCATAGTTGCACATCCTTCTAGTTGCTGTATGTGGGACGTGGCCTCAGCATGGCCGGAGAAGCGGTGCGTCGGTGTGCTCCTGGGATCCAAACCCGGGCCACCAGTAGCGGCGCCCGCGCACTTAACCGCTAAGCCACGGGGCCGGCCCTAAAATTTTTTATTTGCATTTTAATTTATATCGCCATACCAGTTGTCAAATGTTTTGAACACTACCCTTGCTCTTACATACAGTGTGCTTGTTATAAGTGTTAATTGAATGATATCTGACATAAATAAATGGAGACGACAAGGTAGACACCCAGGACAATCAAAGCAAAGAGCTGAGGGAGTCTAAGAGGGTATAATCCATATTATTATCTCTTGCTGAGACATTTAGAAACAGAAAGCATAAGTACACGGAGGAATGTAACAGCAGAAGTCATGTGACTTTCTCATGCTTACACTTCCCTGTTTGGACTCTGCCAACTTGTCTATAAGGTTTTGTTTTTATTTTTATTTTTTTAGGATAATGTTTCCCAGCCAGCAGCCCCATTACTATGAGACTCTAAGAAGACTGTTATTTCCCTCCAAGGGCAACTGAGGCACGAGATTCATTCTGTGCCTTGAGTGAAAATGTCCCAGAGGTCAACACTTCCGTCTGTGACAAATCAAACTTACCTTCAGGCCCCAGCAGCACACCAGTTATGTACACTTTCATGTCACAAACTCTCACTGGGTCAACTTTGTGCCCACGGGACAGATAAGACACAGGCTTGGCCTTTGGGGAACTCAGGGTCTGGGGGGAGGGGAATGGCAGAAATGTAAATAAGGATAATACAACCTGTGACTGCTGTGGTGATGGGGCACTAAGAGTGACAGGTGATATTTATTCTTTATTGTTCTGCACACTCGTCATGTGTGAACTCAGTCTTCATAACTGGTACTATGAAGTGACATATCAGAATACATTCTGCTGTCAGGAGGTCCACATGGGCATCTCCATAACTGTACTTCTTTCTTGTCTATTTATAGATGAAGCCAAATTCTTTGTTCACTTTGGTTGCCACCACTAGCTCTGCTTTCGGACTGCACTTGTGTGGGAAGAATTCATGAAAATATCAAGTTCTCTAAGCAGCTCCAGTTGGGGGGAAGTGGTGTGGGGTGGGGGCGGGTATTTCCTGAGTGACTCACTTACTGAGGGACTGACTCAGTAAGATTACCAGAATTAGACAGAACTAGTTGGGAAAGAAATAATTTCCTCATTGCCTGTGGGGAAAAAGAAACTTTAATCCGTAGGTGGAATAATCTGGATGAGCTCTAACACAAGAAACAAAAGTGAAGGCAGAGTATTCTCCTGATGAGGGGCAGATGGAGGGCACCATCCATTCCCACAGTGGAGCTCTCCTAGAGCCCTTGCAGGGAGTCCTCTTCTCCCAGAATCTACTCGTTATTCTGCTGTCCCCACCCTGCTTGAAAGAAATGAGGAGAATGGTTGGGGAGGGAGTCAAACAGGCTGACGATAGAAGGGTGTGTGCCCTGGCTCACCGGGTCCCAGGGTTCAACATTAACATGGGTCAACAGCAATTACTTAGCTGAACCTTTGTCTACAACTCTAGGAAGGGAGGGGTGAATGGAACACTGTCTATCTTAGCTCCTTATGGGAAAGTTTCACATCAGAGTGGGTAAAATTATTGTTTCTTTTCTCTTTTCTGGGGTTTTCCCATCTCTCCCAGGTTAACCACTCCATGTTGCAGCAGGTAGAGGATCTCAGGCAACACCTAGGATTTTCCTCCCCCTCTCCCCCCCTTCCTTCTTCATCATATGTTGTGTTCAGGATGAATTCTCTTGGAATTGATTTTTGGAGGGGGAAAAGGCAGACAGGACTGATTTGCATCTCAATCACATATCTGCACATAGTACCCGAGGAGACAGGAGAAGAATGGAGGGAAGGGAACAATTATATTGCTCAGTAGTCTTGAGAAAGGAAACAAAACAATTTTCATTCATTTTTCTCTTACCAAATACACTTTTCACCTTGCTTTTTCCTCCTAAGGAGCCACCACATTTCTTATTCCATCCCTTGAAGCCACTTGGGAGCGACAAAGGCTCATGGGACTGGTGGGCCTTCATGCACTGTTACCTGATATGGTCTCCCAAGTTAGTTCCTAAAGCCATCCCTGGTTACACTGGGGGAGAATAGAGAAATTACTAGTATTATGTTAGGTAGTGGGATTGCAGGTGAATTTTTTCTTTTCCATTTAGAAAATCCTTTTACTGTTATTGGTATAATGATATCCAATTAAAAAAATTGAGATGAAAAAAGAGTTGACTTGGGTTTTCATAATGCAAAGAAAAAAGCGATAAAAAAGAAAAACAAAGATTTACATGTATTATCCAATATAATCCATTTATAATTCTGTGAAGTTGTCAGATATTATTATCCCAGCTTAACTAACAAATGTTAGGAATGAGCCTCAGATATGCCCAACCCAAGGTCACATAGCTAAGTGGAACCCAGGTCCTCTGACACCCAGCCCAGTGCTTGATCTACTGTGGCAACTTCAGTGAGGAAAGAGCTTCAGAGATCAGGTGGTTGATCCACTCAAAATGTCAAAATTCTCTATACAACATCAAGAGTGAGTGGCCGGATCCCTTAATGATGGAGAACTACCTGCCTACCAAGGAAGCTTATTCCTATGTTAAATCTAATTTTTAAAAACCCTTATACTGCTGAAATCCGTCTCCCTGAAGGTTCTACTGAAATGACCAACTTCTGATCTCCATAGTGGAACATAATATGTATAATTCTTCATATAACAGCCCTTCAAATATTTCAAATCTCTGTAGTCACAAGGTATATTGCATCGAAATAAATAGCTGTTTTTAGTAGGGCACTTAGTCCAAATGTCCTAGTCTGCCATTGCCAGAAACAAGAAGCCATCCCTAACTACTTTTTGGGGAACTATATTAATTTATTAACTCAAAATATATTTATTTTTGGTTTGATATCTGCCAGGCACTGGGGATGCATTAATGAGCAAGTCAAATGTGCTTTGTGTGTTTATACACTAAAGAGTTGAGCTGGAAAGACAGGCATTTAGAATAGAGAGCAAGGACACCCACCCTGGACTAGGAGCAACTCAGGCCATCCTCCCTGAGGAGGTGATATTTGAACTGAGCCTTGAGGAAGAACAGGAGTTGACAGGGGAAGTGTGGTTTATATAGAGGGAAATAGCTGGGGAGAAGTCCTAGATATTGGACAGAGCAACAGGTTCACAGGACTGACCAAGTCCAGGGAAGCTGGAGGGAGCTGCAGCATGGTGCTGAAGAGTATGAGCCTCGACCTGGACCACCTAGATTCTAGTATTTCCTCCAAAACCCACTTAGCTGTGGGACCCCAGACAAGTTACTTACCCACCACATGCTTTAGTTTCCTCACCTGTAAAATGGGTGATGTTTTAGGGATGTGGCGAGGATTGGTTGAGTTGATAAATCTGAAGTGCTTAGAACGGGCACATAGTAGATGCTCAACCAATGCTTGTTCTCATGGCTGGAGGGAAACAAGGTGGGAGAGAGAAAGGAGGCTGATGATAGAGGCTGGGCACTGTAAGCCCTCCTTGACCGGCACGGTAAACAGAGAAGTGAAGATGAGAGTCTATTTTGAGAAAAGCCACGCTGGCGCAGTGTGGAGAAGAGATTGGAGAGGGTGAGAATGTATCTGCAGGGACCAGTTAGGAGGCTAATGCAGGGTCCCAACACTAGTGGCATATATTATCCCTCTCCATCCTAAATAACTCCTCTTCCCATGTTAATTCCTTTGCACATTCCTAACTACATCCTCCTCCTGTGACAGTCAAAGTTAGTCAAGAAGGAATTGCTGAGCACACCTTGGACAGCAGTCATGGCAACTGGGCCCACTATTGGGAAACTCCTGGAAGAGGTGACCTGCAGTGTCTGCCTGGAGCACATGAAGGACCCTGTGAGCATCTTCTGTGGCTGCAGCTTCTGCCAGGCCTGCATCACTGAGTGCTGTGTCACTTTCAGGGACATGTGCCGTCCATTCTGCAAAAGACATTTCAAGAGGGGGACATCAGGCCCAACTGGATTTTGGCCAGTTTGGTCTCCATCCTCCTAACACTGGAGCCCAGGAGTGCGAATCCAGCACAGGAAGTTTGATTCTGTGAGCAGCACAGGAAAAGGGCCTTTTTCTATTTCCAGAAGGACCAGCAATTCCTGTGTGTGGTTTGTAAAAATCTCATAGAGCACAAATGTCACTTGGTGCTGCAGAAGGAGGAAGGTCCTAGGACTTATGAAGTAGGTAAATCCTTTTACTGTCTAGTCTAAACTTGGGACAAATCTTTGGGTGGCTTGTTCTATTATTGGCTTTAGCTCTATTACAAAAAAATAAACCTCTGTATTCTAAACACAATTCTGAATGCAACAATAGCTTTCAATCCTGAATTATAGTGGTAAAAGTTACTTGAGAATGCATTCTATTTTACTTCAAAATTCTCAGGCACCAGAAGGCCTGAGGATTTCTCTACCTACACAACATAGACATAAGTGTTAATACAGGACTTCACACACCCTGTGGAATCCCCTGGAGATTTCTGGGTGTGAAGAAAAAATTACTGAACACAAAGTTAAAAACGACAACAAAGCCCTCGATAGATAGGGCTTTGGTTTGATTTGGGCTATACTATCTGGGCAAATGAGAACACTATAATTTCTAGGAAAGTGAAATCTGGATAAATTAATCAGGTCCCTTTTTTTAGCTGAAAATGGCAAAATCTAACTCAAGCTCACCAAAATGGGGATTCAGTGTCTTATTTAACAAACTAAAGGAAAAGCAGGGACGCAACTGAACCTCAGGTATAACTAGAACCAGGGACTCAAATGCAACTTAAGTCCCCCCCATCTCTTATTTCCTCTTTTCTCTGTATTGGTTCCATTTTTTCAGACTCATTTCTGGCACAAGTTGTAATCATAGCCACCTCTAGGATCATACCTCTCATCTTTGCTAACAAAGAAAGACAGAGTCACTCTTTCTGGTCCAGAAGTAGAAAAATCCAAGAAAGAACTCCCAAACAAGGGTCTGAATGCTGGCATATCTGTGCTGTGCAGAGTTGAGAGACCGGCTGAAGAGGAAGCTAGCAGCAGCCATCCTCGGTTTAGGAGCTGATCTAGGAATCAAACATTCTAGTGTAACCGTGCATCAGGATACACTAGGTTAGGCTGAGGTAACAAAATCCCATATCCCAGTGGCTTAAAACAAAATGCCTTTTCTTTCTCATGCTATCTGTCTACTGCAGGTTGGTGAGGGGGGCTCTGCTCACCGTACTCACTTGGAGATCCAGGCTTACAGACCAGCCACCACTTTCAATACGGGCTATTGCCAAGCCAATGGGAAAAAAGAGCTCTGGAGGATCTTGCATCAGCAGTTAATGCCCAGTCCAGGAGAAATCTACTTCTGCTAACAACTCACTGGGCAACACTAATTTGGCCCCCCACCCCCCACAAACAACAATAGGACCAGGAAGTGCAATCCTACCATGAATCCAGAATGGGGAGAGGAGGAGAGGAAGTCAAGATGGCGGCGTAGGCAGACTCTGAACTCACCTCCTCCCGCGGACACAGCCAATTTACAACTACTCATGGAAAAATTACCCCCGAGACAGAACTGAAAACTGGATAAGAGGAACTCCTGCAACAAGGGACAATCCTAACTGAGGTATAACAGGCAGAAACTCCCTTCTGGAGAGAAAAAACGCCACCTTCACAAGCCACAGCGCCTCACGGCTGCCTGGGAGCAGCCCACAGGTACGCAGCCCTCCCTGGAGGCGCAGGGCCCTGAGCCGGGGAGCGCCCCCGCTGTGGGCATTTTGTGGACCCAGCACAATCGAGTGGCAGAATATCTGACTTTGCCTGCTACTAAAACATTGGGGAGTACCCCCAGAAAAGCTAGTTCACAAAGAAATTAAAACTGGCTCTTAAAGGGCCCACGCACAAACTCACCCGTTTCAGAAAGCAACCTAAAATCACCAGAAAGAAAGGTGCACAGTGCTTTGGTGAAAAGACATTCACTTGATAGGCTCTGAGCGCATCTGAGACCTCTGCAGGGAGTGGGACATTGGCAGCGGTCATTGTTGTGGCATGGTGTGGGCGTGCTGACACAGACGCTGGCAGACGCCATTGGAGTTCTCCCTGGAGCCCACCAGCCCAGGGTCTGCCCCACCCACTGGAGCACCGATTTAATCCAGCTCAGCCAGGGCAGGGAGCCCACCCTAGGGACGGGCCCCACCCAACAACAAGCCCTCAGGCAACTTGTGGGCCTGCATAGATTGGTGACTGGATTCTCTGCAGCCTGGTGACTGGGCCCACTTCAGTGGG